AGGGCGGAACGTGGGGGCACCGCCGCCCGTCCGATTGGATGTGATCGGCCACAGACCGGTCACGCCCGATTGACGCGGGTCAATCGGGCAGCGCCGCACGTCCGCCCTCACCGCATTAAATGCGGTGTGGGACGGTTGGGGTGCTATTCATTGATGGCGGCTCAGATTCGGCCACCGCCCCACTCACTCCCCCCGCCACGTGGCGGCCGGGCGAGGGCCTCGGGGCGAGGCAGCCTGAGGGTCAAAGGGGCGTGACGTGGCACCCCGAGGCCCCCTGGCTGCCTCTGCGTCGTCCGAGATGTGGGGGGAGGGCCAGGCTGTATGGCCGCGTGGCTGGACGGGATTGAGACTTCCCCATACTTCTCATATCCTCAGGCCCATATCACCGACAATTATTCTCACCCCTAGTTAGCTAATGTAACTAGTTAGTTCAGGTGGTGGTTTGGGCTTGTCTCAATGTGGTGTAGTGTTGAGCAGTGATTGGTTAATATTGATTAAATACTACAACTGTTTTTACTGCTTTCAACTACTGCTTTTAAATGCAAGCATTATGCAAATGAACCGCTAGCCTCCTTTGGTTATATCTTGCATCATACCTCCTCTTCCGGTATGACTTGTTGAGTACAGTGGGAAGTACTTAGTCTTGCTCTCTCTTCCCCACACCAGAGTTGAAGTTCTTCTTAGTTGGAGATGTCTCGAAGAAATTGGTTTCGTCGCTGCCGTCAAGGATGCATGTGGAGTCAAGTCTTCAGGCTTAGCTGGCTTTCATCTTTTCCGCTGCATTTGTAATCTTTTATATTTTTGTAAAACGTGGATCTGTATTTCAACAATTGTCGTTTGTATACCCTGGCTGGTTCTGGACATGGGTTTAATGCACATTCAGCTTAGAAATTCTGGTTCGTGAATTTCTGGGCGTGACAGTTGTCCATCATTCTTGACAAGATGTAGTGTACAAGGCATTCTTTAGTTGAGCCTCGCTCACTTTGCATCACAGAAGTATAACCTAGACATAACTAATTCAGTATAGAAGCAAAATGTGCAGCAGCAACAATAAGGGTGAAAACTAGAAAGAAGGATTTATGATGCTTCTTAGTTTATTCAGTCACGAAAGAGTGACTTTAAATAAATGTACACTTCTTCCAAAGTGAAAATTATGAGATGTCTTACTTATGGAATGCTCCTACACACTAAGGTTGTGTAATGCCCCGAGTTTCGAATTAGTATATTTCGGGGAATATTAGAACAAATGCGCAAAAGTTCAATTTTTTTAAACCGTTGTTCGAATAGGCGATCAGGAACCATGGATGTATAGAGCTCGTCAAGTAGTGCAAAATATACTAAGTCCCGGGGATTGAAACAATGTGGGACGTTGGATCTCCTTTTTGTCTCTTTATGTAACTAAAAGAAAAAAGAAACAACGGTTTTGCTAAAAAACTGGCGACAGTTTTTTCTTTAGAAAACTTTCGATTTTCTAGCCATTAGATGCACTCCAGGATTCGTGCAACATATACGGCCATATGGGTAGAATAAAAAAAATCTCGTGTGGGCTAGACAAGCATTGAACGAGCTAGGATCTATCCATCAAACTTGCCACACGTTACGCTGAGGTACGGGCACTTTCTGATTATTAATAGCATTTGTAGTTATATATCACTTACACCCTAGGTACATAACACTTATACTCTAGTTACATACTCTAGTTAGTTACATAGCACTTACACCAACTAGAGTAGTTACAGGGTAATTACATGGTATAAAATTAGGATTTGTAATTTTTTTCAGGGACATATATATGCATATTACTTTTGAATTGAAAGTTATTATCAATTTGGGCACTAAGACTCGTGGTTTGTACTAGTGCAGACTGTTTTCCTGTAATCGTTGATGACAAATCCTATGGTTGAAAAATTTGACAGTTCTGGACCTAAAAAACTGTCGACAGCACACTAGCTAGTCCCTTTCTTGGGACTAGCTATTCTATGAGAAGTTCATTCTAACATAGCAAGTCGATAGTTTACTGCAAACAAAATGGATAATAAACATGATGTTTCAACAAAACTAGAGGAACTCACGCATGATGTACCCAAAGGAAACCGGTTCTTGACACACTACAAATCTGTGGTAGTTCTTTTCTATCTCGAAAACGAATCAAGGCTGTGTTTGGAATCAGCTGTTCCCAACATGCAAAGTGCGCATGGAAAACGGAGCGGTCCATTAGAGCTTGATTAGTTAAGTATTAGCTTTTTTTTTTCAAAAAATGGATTAATATGATTTTTTAAGCAACTTTTGTATAGAAACTTTTTGCAAAAAAACACACCGTTTAGCAGTTTGAAAAGCGTGCGCGTGGAATATAATGGAGATGGGTTGGGTACCCTGGATTCCGAACACAGTCCAAGTCTATCCAAAAAGTTTAGACAAGAAAACACGTAACAAGTTAGTTTACAAGAATACGAATTACGTCAATCCTGCACTACAAGTAGAGCAAAATGGTGATTTCTTGTAAATCTCTCGAATGGTGATTTAAGAATTCAGTGCAAACCTAATTCTTGCTATAAAATCAAATGTTCGGTACCGTATCAACGGAACAATAAAAAGCACTTGGCGTACCATAATTTTGTCATTCTTGTTGAAATTTTGTAACATAAAATGCATGAGGCCACACGACCTTAATGTTCAACGTGTCATGCATTAGTGAAATAATAGCTTACAAAACATAACAAATATAGCTAGATAACGGTTGCAATCCTTACCAAACTAACGTATAAAGTGAGCGATGAGTCATATCATTATCTTTCTAGCCTGCTAACCATCACGTACACCTTCCGATCCCAAAAAATGACAACTTCTATGGATGAACCTGGACAAGGTTTAGGGTTTAGGGATGAATCTGGACAAATGATTGTCTAGGTTCATCCCTAGAAGTGGGTTTCTCCTTATGGGACGGAGGGAGTATATTTGATGGACACAAAAGTTACTTTCGTGATGAAATCAAAGGGGATTTGTTGAGGCACCTAATAGAACATATGTCCAAATGACATGACTCACTTGGATCCTAATAGGACATGAAAGCAAAACTAGCACTCCAAAGCAACCAATGAGGAATTGAAAGAAAATAAGTGCCATCGCATCTATAAATAGACAATGAAAACCCTCCCCATCGTTCACACAGTTCAAGCATTATACAGTAAAAAAGAAAGATCTAGTGTCCTGTCGCAATGAAGATCATTTTCATCTTTGCTCTTCTTGCTATTGCTGCATGCAGCGCCTCTGCGCAGTTTGATGTTTTAGGTCAAAGTTATAGGCAATATCAGCTGCAGTCACCTCTCCTGCTACAGCAACATGTGCTTAGCCCATATAATGAGTTCGTAAGGCAGCAGTATGGCATAGCAGCAAGCCCCTTATTGCAATCAGCTGCGTTTCAGCTGAAAAACAACCAAGTTTGGCAACAGCTCAGGCTGGTGGCGCAACAGTCTCACTATCAAGATATTAACATTGTTCAGGCCATAGCGCAGCAGCTACAACTCCAGCAGTTTGATGATCTCTACTTTGATCGGAATCTGGGTCAAGCTCAAGCTCAAGCTCTGTTGGCTTTGAACTTGCCATCTAGATATGGTATCTACCCTAGGTACTATAGTGCACCTAGTAGCATTACCACCCTTGGCGGTGTATTGTACTGAGTTTTAACATTACAGTGGTTCGGAAGTTAAAAATAAACTCAGATATCATCATATTTGACATGTGAAACTCAGGGTGATATATCCTAGTACATCATCGTAACTAATTACCATCATTGGTACTCTACAATTTTACTGTGTGCTTACATTCGATCCGAAGCTACTTTGTCTTTAAGATATAAATGGAGTGTATAAAAGATGTCCATCCTTTAATTCCAATAAGAACAAACACGAAGCACATATGGCAAATACTAAATCCACTACAACAAAATCATAGACCATAAAACGCACGTAAAGATGTAGCAATGCACATTGATTCTTCATCCACTACTAAAATAAGCGCATATGAAAGGCCGCATATGCATGATCATTGTGAATATGACATGCGCTTGTCGACCAAACGTGTCACTTCATGCAAATATGTTGTTTCAAGCGACATCAAGATATGATTTCAAAGTTTTAAACAATGGTATATTAATGACTTTCATATATGCATATTAGTTTCAATTGAAAGCCATCTTGTTGTCCATCCTTCCTGACAAGATGTAGTGTACAAGGCATTCTTTAGTTGAGCCTCGCTCACTTTGTATCATAGAAGCATAACCTAGACGTAACTAATTTAGTATAGAAGCAAAAAGTGTAGCAGAAACAACGAGGGTGGAAACTAGAAAGAAGGATTTATGATGTTTCTTAGTTTATTCAGTCATGAAAGAGTGACTTTAAAAAAACTAGTAATCATGCACGTGCAAGGCACGTTTTTCATATTACATATGGCATCAACGTAATATTTTGCTGTCGCAATATGTATATAAGACGATTTATTTCAATGTGGTGATAAAATAAATAAACCAAGCTTCATGTTAATCCCCATTCAAGCTAAAAAATGCAAAAAAAAAAAGAGAGCTCATTGTTGCATACGATCGGAATACAATAGCGCATGAAATCTATGTTGGTAAAAAAATAAATCACTGAAACAGAGAAGGAATTAAAGTTTTTATATAGTCAAGTCAAATTTGAAAGAGAGTAATGGGTTTTGAAACTAATAAGAATGTATTATTATAAAGATGTTGTTATTCCATATATTTCCAAATTGAAGTTGGATCATCCATTAAGATTTCTTTGAGTTGATTATATACTACGGGCCTTCAGATCGAAAAAAAAACTCTTCTCGAAGTTGAACTCCATTTAACATACATGGAACTTCCTTAGTATTTTGCGAACATCAATTTCAAATATTCATTAATAAGAAACATACGTAGTATTTTTCTGATTTTTCAAGTTTACGACTTATTGTTTAACTGTCATTCATTTGTTTTGAAAAAAAAAGCAATTTTCAATTGATATAGCACAGCCGCACACCCCTTCTGAGATGAGTTCTGATTAGCATCTCCTGATAACATGGCATCTCTTCTTTACAAGCATACAAAAGGACATACATCAGAACTATTTATGTTAACACCAAATAAATGGCAGAGAAATAACTAATTTTGATTTAATTAGATTAAGACAGTCACAATATCCAGCTTGCGCTTGTTGCCGGCGTTGTTGATTGACTGCTTGCTCATGCTGAAGTAGCCTAGGAAGATCTGCACCCAATGTCCCTACATCAGGAGCAGACTTTCTTGTGTTAAGTTCATGAGAGCTTGCCAGGCTTGTGTTAAGTTCATGGCATCTCCTGAAGTTTATGCATTCATCATCTAGCTTTATCTCACATTAGATGGAGCAAGCTGGGGTCTTCCGATAGCATCATAGGTTGTTGACCCTCCGCACCGCCGCTGCTATGGAACCATGAAGAAGTGTCTGTGTCACCTATTCATATTGGAACTAAATTTGGTAAAGGTTAGTCAGATATCTGAACCTAAAACCAGCATTGCACATATTGAAATTTGATGCTGAAACTTATTACCTGAGCAGCAGCACATTGTAGTCATATGCTTCTTTGCAAAGTTCTCCTATACAAGTTTCAAAATGAAATTATTATGAGTAAATAGTATATGTACTACATAGTGTGAGTAGAGCACTACATGGCTTGGCATTAACACTCTAGATATTATGTAGTGAATCAAGCAACAAATAATGTATACCTTATGAATTCTGATGTTATTCAGAGATTCTTTGAGAGATTGCTCCATCACTCTTTTATTATGGCCAATATATTCTCAACCTTCTCTGGACCGCTCCAATAATTGAAGAATAACATGCAACATTGTTATACATGTCCATTAATTCCCTTTAATTTTCTCCCTATTATCTATGAGAATCTACCATGATTTTTGGCATCAATGTGATCTGTCTGAATAAGGGGCCCTTTTAAGATCATATGCCACCAAGCCACTATTGAGTTCATCAATGAATATAAATATTTACATAATTATTGCAGTTTTATCCAATTAGAGTAGATAATTTGTGCCACAACTTAACTGAGCTATATACCTAAGACACCTTTGGACATCTACCCTTAACATTGCAAAGCCCCAAGGTGACTTGACAATTCCTTCCAAACAATTGACTGAATAAACATCTGAATATCAGAGACATGAAGCAGGAAATAAGAGATTTAACAAGTTGTTATATCGTTATTGAATTGTTGATAAGTACCTTGACAATCTGACCCCTGCAAATATACAATAGATTCAAAAGAATTGCAGAGTGAGAATCTTTCTTTGCAATAGACATTTGTGTTATTGTATATTTTTATTCCATGTTATAGCATAAGCTGGCAGAAATTTACTCTGAGCCAAAGAAGTCCGGAATATTTGACATCATGATCTAGCTTCTTGAATGTCTTATTAAGGCCTTTGGAAGAGCAAAAAGAAATTGATCTGATCTATCTCAATCTTACTGCGCTCAGTAAAAGAAAAAAAATCATTCGAGCTAAGATTCAGTAACATATATAAACAAAATCAAGCGGATGTGTACCTCGTCAGTCATCACCACTGAGCGACGCAAATTAATTGTTGTGGCTGCCAGAGTACCATGCGCCAAAGTTGCATGGGCGGGCTGCGGAGGGCCGGAGACGCAGCAAACGGATGCGGAGGAGATTGCATCAGCCACATGCAGCTTGCAGCTAGATCGGGAATGAGGTCTCATCCTCTCAGCCGCATCTGCCATAGCCGTTGTGCATTGTTCTCCGCCTGTCGAATGTATCTGGTCCTCATCGCTGCTCTGCTCAAGCTGTGCATTGGTAGGCGCCAGAGCTGGTCTTCTTTTCACCGATTATTCACTGGAAATTAAGAAGGAAAGATCCAAAGCAGATGGAGGGAGGTTGAGGAAACCTAATTAAGATTGATAACAAGATTCAAAGAAAAGAGGTTCAGGGTTTGAGGCCATACAAAAGTAATCTGACGGTGAATACTGCGTGGATCGAAGCAGCCTTTGCCCATTCAAGCAACGCGAGGCAGAAGAGAGCACGGCGACGTCAGTTGAAGCCTTGAAGGGAGGAAGGCACGCGACTGAGAGGAATAGTGACCGGGGCACGGTGGAGCTGTGCATTGTGAGCAGAGTCTGCACCTTGCAGCGGTGGTAGAAGGGATGACGACCGGGTGGCGCAACTGGGTGGTGATGCCGCCGGAAGAGTGGACAACGACGGAGATGGGTGCACCCGGCGAGGAGGACTGGCTGCGTCAGGGAGTGGGGGGGGGGTACCGTCGGTAGTGGCACGGTGGAGGGGATCACGGCTGGCCCTGGGAGGCTTGGAGAAAGGGTGGATTGGGAGCTTGGAGGAAGGGTGGGCTTAATCTAGAGGGGTGGGTGGAGGGCGACGTTTGCGGGGAGTGTTTAGGATGGCGCGCAAGCGCGATGGCCCGATAACACCGTGGCGCTGAGGGCGGAGACGCAGAGTCATCTCGCGGTGGCGGGAGCGCAGGCCAAAAAATTCGGTGGAGAGAGGATGAGGTCGCTGTGGGAGGGTGAAATTGCAGTGGATTAGTGCGGATTTGTGATGCGATGTGGGTGGACGGTAGGGATTAGGGTGATGATGCGATGCAGATGCGGATGGATGGTAGGGATTAGGGACGATGATTTGGCCTGAAGCATTGCTAGGCTCAACTCATCCTTTTTATATTAGTATAGATATAGATGTACAATTCTTCCAAAGTTAAAATTATGACATGTCTTACTTATGGAATGCTCCTACACGCGGAGGTTGTTCTTGCTGACACTCTCGTTTCTATGAGAAGTTTTTTCTAACATAGCAAGTCGATAGTTTACTGCCAATAAAATGGATAATAAGCCTGATGTTTCAACAAAACTAGAGAAACTCACGCATGATATACCCAAAGGAAACCGGTTCTTGACACACTACAAATCTGTGGTAGTTCTTTTCTATCTTAAAAACGAATCAAGGCTGTGTTTGGAATCAGCTGTTCCCAACATGCAAAGTGCGCACGGAAAACGGAGCGGTCCATTAAAGCTTGATTAGTTAAGTATTAGCTTTTTTTTCAAAAAAATAGATTAATATGATTTTTTAAGCAACTTTTGTAGAGAAACTTTTTACAAAAAAACACACCGTTTAGCAGTTTGAAAAGCGTGCGCGCGGAATACGATGGAGATGGGTTGGGAACCCTGGATTCCGAACACAGCCCAAGTCTATCCAAAAAGTTTAGACAAGAAAACACGTAACAAGTTGGTTTGCAAGAATACGAATTACGTCAATCCTGCACTATAGGTAGAGCAAAATGGTGATTTCTCGTAAATCTCTCGAATGGTGATTTAAGAATTTAGTGCAAACCTAACTCTTGCTATAAAATCAAATGTTCGGTACCGCATCAACGGAACAATAAAAAGCACTTGGCATACCATAATTTTGTCATTCTTGTTGAAATTTTGTAACATAAAATGCATGAGGCCACACGACCTTAATGTTCAACGTGTCATGCATTAGTGAAATAATAGCTCACAAAACATAACAAATATAGCTAGATAACGGTTGCAATCCTTACCAAACTAACGTATAAAGCGAGCGATGAGTCATATCATTATCTTTCTAGCCTGCTAACCATCACGTACACTTTCCGATCCCAAAATATGACAACTTCTAGGGATGAACCTGGACAATGTTTAGGGTTTAGGGATGAATCTGGACAAATGATTGTCCAGGTTCATCCCTAGAAGTGGGTTTCTCCTTACGGGACGGAGGGAGTATATGTGATGGACATAAAAGTTACTTTCGTAATGAAATCAAAGGGGATTTGTTGGGGTACCTAATAGAACATGTGTCCAAATGACATGACTCACTTGGATCCTAATAGGACATCAAAGCAAAACTAACACTCCAAAGCAACCGATGAGGAATTGAAAGAAAATCAGTGCCATCGCATCTATAAATAGACAAGCGCAATGAAAACCCTCCCCATCGTTCACACAGTTCAAGCATTATACAGCAAAAAAGAAAGATCTAGTGTCCCGTAGCAATGAAGATCATTTTCGCCTTTGCTCTTCTTACTATTGCTGCATGCAGCGCCTCTGCGCAGTTTGATGTTTTAGGTCAAAGTTATAGGCAATATCAGCTGCAGTCGCCTCTCCTGCTACAGCAACAGGTGCTTAGCCCATATAATGAGTTCGTAAGGCAGCAGTATGGCATAACGGCAAGCCCCTTATTGCAATCAGTTGCGTTTCAACTGAGAAACAACCAAGTCTGGCAACAGCTTTGGCTGGTGGCGCAACAGTCTCACTATGAGGATATTAACATTTTTCAGGTCATAGCGCAGCAGCTACAACTCCAGCAGTTTGATGATCTCTACTTTGATCGGAATCTGGCTCAAGCTCCAGCCCAAGCTCTGTTGGCTTTGAACTTGCCATCTAGATATGGTATCTACCCTAGGTACTATAGTGCACCTAGTAGCATTACCACCCTTGGCGGTTTATTGTACTGAGTTTTAACAATATAGTGGTTTGGAAGTTAAAAATAGGCTCAGATATCATCATATTTGACATGTGAAACTCGGGGTGATATATCCTAGTACATCGTCGTAACTAATTACCATCGTTGGTACTCTACAATTTTACTGTGTGCTTATATTCGATCCGAAGCTACTTTGTCTTTAAGATATAAATGGAGCGTATAAAGGATGTCCATCCTTTAATTCCAATAAGAACAAACACGAAGCACATATGGCAAATACTAAATCCACTACAACAAAATCGAAGAACATACAAAGCACGTAAAGATGTAGCAATCCACATTGATTCTTCATCCACTACTAAAATAAGCGCATATGAAAGGCCGCATATGCATGATCATTGTGAATATGACATGCCCTTGTCGACCAAACGTGTCACTTCATGCAAATATGTTGTTTCAAGCGACATCAAGATATGATTCCAAAGTTTTAAACATTGGTATATTAATGACTTTCATATATGCATATTAATTTCAATTGAAAGCCATCTTGTTGTCCATCCTTCCTGACAAGATGTAGTGTACAAGGCATTCTTTAGTTGAGCCTCGCTCACTTTGTATCACAGAAGCATAACCTAGACGTAACTAATTCAATATAGAAGCAAAAAGTGTAGCAGCAACAGCGAGGGTGGAAACTAGAAAGAAGGATTTATGATGTTCTGTTTATTCAGTCACGAAAGAGTGACTTTAAAAAAATGTACACATCTTCCACACTATGAGATGTCTTACTTATGGAATGCTCCTACACGTTGAGGTTGTTCTTGCTGACACCCTCGTTTCTATGAGAAGTTTATTCTAACATAGCAAGTCGATAGTTTACTGCAAACAAAATGGATAATAAACTTGATGTTTCAACAAAACTAGAGGAACTCACGCATGATGTACCCAAAGAAAACCGGTTCTTGACACACTACAAATATGTGGTAGTTCTTTTCCATCTCGAAAACGAATAGGGCTGTGTTTGGAATCAACTGTTCCCAACATGCAAAGTGCGCACAGAAAACGGAGCGGTTCATTAGAGCTTGATTAGTTAAGTATTAGCTTTTTTTACAAAAAATGGATTAATATGATTTTTTTAAGCAACTTTTGTATAGAAACTTTTTGCAAAAAAACACACCGTTTAGCAGTTTGAAAAGCGTGCACGCGGAATACGATGGAGATGGGTTGGGAACCCTGGATTCCGAACACAGCCCAAGTCTATCCAAAATGTTTAGACAAGAAAACACGTAACAAGTTGGTTTACAAGAATACGAATTGCGTCAATCCTGCACTACAAGTAGAGCAACATGTTGATTTCTCGTAAATCTCTCGAATGGTGATTTAAGAATTCAGTGCAAACCTAATTCTTGCTAGAAAATTGAATGTTCGGTACCGCATCAACGGAACAATAAAAAGCACTTGGCGTACCATAATTTTGTCATTCTTGTTGAAATTTTATAATATAAAATGCATGAGGCCACACGACTTTAATGTTCAACGTGTCATGCATTAGTGAAACTAGAATATACCCCGCGTGTTGCTGCGGCACTTTTAGTTGTCACTGGAGATGTCGGCTTATTTAAAACAATGGATAAAAATTATATGTGCAGTATTTACTTGAAAAATACAGTACTCATAGTGAAAGTTGGGTCGGCTGCTGCCAGTGCCAGACAACCTAAAATGAAATATCACATGGCCTACATTGACATGTTAAGTCAAATAGCACATTTCTAAAGATATAGTTTACAATATAAATGTAGAAATAGTTAGGATAAAGTGTGCAATTGGATGAACTTCCAAGCCCCAGAACAGCAAGCCATGCAAACCATCACAGATTGGTGGAGTGAGCTCTGTAATTCCATACCTTTGTTGATGATGTGGTGGAACATATGGCTGGTACACAATAGAATTTTCCAACAATTGTTGAAGAATGGATTCTAAGTCGCTTTTCTAGTGAAGGAAAAAATTAGCCTAATAGTCAAGGATCTGTCTGTTTCATGATCTTTCAATCAATCGCTCTCTTTTTTTATGTAAATCAATCCTCATATCTTCCCTAGATGTTTTTTTCCTTTTAACAGACATATGTAAGGCTCTGGTTTACTACTTCTTTTCTCGTTCTAATATATCCGGCAAATCTTCTACAGTTTGAAGTATAAAAAAAGAAATAGTTTGAATATTACACCCTTCATTTTATTCTATTCAATCAAATAAAAGAATAAAATAATAAAGATAGGAGCCGAGACTCCAATAAATATAACATCAGATAGGAGTTCAGACTCCAATAAATATAACATCAATATTGTTGTCAAGACAACCGAATATGCACAATGTGTTGAACTTTCAAATTGACAGTTCACTTTCAAATTGACAGTTCAAATTATTGAAAAACTTATGCAATTCAACTCGCTTCCTTTTCTTGTCTCACTATTAAGTTAAGATAATTTCAAGGTTGCAGCAACCGCTACTAAAATTAATGCAAAACAACTTAGTCAGTCTACAGTGGCAGATATGATCAAGGGGAAAAGAGGATTTTAATGGCGTACCGTCAAAGGAATTATTTGTGCAGTGGTTCAATGAAGAAAGCTCCCACCTTTCTTGTTTCCTGTACAATACAGAACAATACAGAGTATTAAAAACCTTTATAAAGTTGCTGGACATAGGAATAACAATATTATGCTAATGCTAAAAAGATCAGCTGAAAATGCAGCATAATAAGAAGTGTAACCAACAATGAAAAAAGGGTTTTTAATAGCATATAAAATGAAAACGGCTTCAAATATTGTTCAACAACACAGGGCACTAAACAATTATGAAATTTATGTTATCATATGAAAAAAATAAGAGTAATTAAAATATTAATTCAAATACGTACCAGATACAAAAGGAAAGGATAATTGGAATGTATTATGAAAGTCAAATAGAACCTCAAGCAAAACTGCAAGGAAGTTAATTAGAGCGATTAGTCTATGAAGATTAGTCTATGAAAATCAGAATTGGTGAGAGAGAGACGAAGAC